GAAAGGTGGCAAGTGTCTATTTCTGTATTTGGAAGGAAGTGCTTCCTATCAGGGCTCCAGAAATTGTTCTGATTTTTAGCTGCAAGACCAGGATGTTCCAGTTATAATGATAATGTCTAAAAAAAACAGTTCACTCTCACCAAAACAAAAACCGATTTTAGAAATTCTAAAACACTACATTTTACTCTAAATTAGTTTGGTATTGCTATTTTCTAGACTATTATCTTTTCCTTCTGAAATGACAGCTGTTTGGCTATACCACTGACAATAATAATCTGCCAAACAAGGAGAGAAAATGAGTAAGCCAACATATCCCATTTTGTTATTTCCATGAGTGAAAATTAGTGTCTAATGAGATGTTCTCAAACACTGCTGCTGCTGCTGCTCATCCAGACACGTGCCCCAGATCAAAGCGGATTTAATTATCACAAGGAGAGGGTGAAATGGGGACATTAAGTGGAAAAATCCAGAACATGAAGAAATAACATATCTCAGGAGATAAGATACGGGGCTAATTTTATGCACCTGCTTTCTTCTAGAAAAAAAGAAACGTCAGTTTTGAAATATGTGAAAGGTACATTTCAAGCAAGTTTTGATGAGCTTATACATAGAGCAGGGCCAGCCAGCCATCCATAGCCAGTGCTTTGAGAAAGTGGTCAGGCCTTTACAGAAATCTCTCCCTGTAAAGAGACGCTCGCTCCCCTTAGAGACAAGGCACTGCGCATTAAGCCGCATACAGTAATTTGATCAGAACATTTTTATTTTATTAGAGGCATTATCAGACCTACCTTCACAAAGAACCACCTATTTTTCTCCCAGTAAAATGGCTTAAAATCTGACAGAAAATCATCATGTTCTTGTTGAAAATAATCCCTTTATTGTGACTAACAGTGATTTGCAATTGTGTGTGTGTGCGTGCGCGCATGCGTGCATGCTTAACCAAGCATACAAAGAGATGAAATGTGAACTCACGACACTTTTTCCCATCTGTCTGTAGCCCATTTGAAGGAGAAAATGAAAGTCGTAGAACCAGACCCCTTTGTGGCTCAGAGACCAATAGCGGATGGCATGCTTAAAGGTGGCATGTGTTGTAGATCTTAGCGCTTAGTTCTGATGTCATTAGATAGTATAACAAGATATTTTAGCAGTTCTGTCTCTGCTTCTTTTTGTTAGGTGTTGACATATATTATTTCAGCTAATCCTGCTAAAAGACCCTGCTGGTAGCTAAGGAAGTACAGTTATCACATTTAATGTTCGAGAATACGTACTTTAGTTTCCTGAGCAGTGGACTCTATAGTTGTCAAAACCAAGGACGCACCTTTCTTTTTTTTTTTTTATTGAAAACTAGAATTTTAAATTCTATTTAAATTGTTGAGCTCATGCTTCTTTGTTCTGCCAAATGTAATAGTCCTTAAACATGTCCCCTGATCAACAAAGCAGGGCTCATATGGCCTCACAGAGATTGAAGCAGCAAGCATGGGGCCTGCATTAGGTGTTCTACCTATGTTATGGTTGTTTAGTTTGGTGTTTTTTTAGGAAGTCTAACAATAAGACCAGGTGTGTCTCTGACTCTCTTGCTTGCTCTTGGGACTCTTTTCCTCCTGTTTTCTAATGGTCATATCATTTTTCTACCTACATACTTTCATGTCTACAGCTCAACTATGTCCAGATACCCAAGAAAGCAGAGGCAAGAGATCTGATTTTTCTTCTTTCTTTTATGGAAAACAGAATTTTTTCTCACTTAATATATCCTGATTATGGTTTCTCCTCCCTTTAATCCTCCTGGTTCCTTTCCATCTCCCCTCCCGTCTGGATTCACCCCTTTCTGTCTCTCATTAGAAACAGGCTTCTAAGGGATTATAATACGATATAATATAGTATAGTATAATATGACAGAAAAAAAGCCTAAACAATAGGACAAACAAGGAAAAAATGCAAGAAGCACATATAGACTCAGATACCCTCTGGTTTTTCACACTCAGAAATATGACAAAAACACTAACCCTGAAGTCATATTCATATGCAAAGAACCTACAGTGTAAAAGATTAAAAATTTAGTATATATATATATATACATATATATGTATAAATTTAGAAAGGGGGAATATCTGACAAGACATTATGAGAAAAAGGACTTCTAAGGATGCCATTGGGTTCATTTTCTGTTGGCCATCTACTGCTGGGCATACAACCTACCCTTAAGAATAGTTTGTTTCCCCAATGAGACCCCCTTGGAAGAAACTAAATTTTCATTTGCAAGTAGTTATCAATTAGAAATAGTGGGGTTAGGGATGGAGGTATGTGTCCACTTCTTTTAGCTCTAGAACCCATCTTGTTAGGAGCCATGTAGGTCTAGTGTGTGCTGTCTCAGTCTTTATGAGTTCATATGTACATCAATCCTGTTGATGTAGAAGGCCTTGTTTTCATGGTGTCCTCCATCCCCTTTGGTTCTTATGCACTTTATGCCTCCTCTTCTACAGGGTTCCCTGAGCTCTGGGAGCTCTACAGGAGATGTAGAGCTGACTTTTCCAAAGTCTCTCATTCTCTGCATAATCTATGACTGTGGGTCTCCCATTTGTTTCCATTTGCTACAGGAGGAAGTTTTTCTGATGGTGGCTGAGCAAGGCACTGATAGTACAGCAGGATGTTATTAGGAGTCATTTTATTATAGCTACACTGTTTTCTTTCTATCCTAGATCCCTGGGCTACATAGTTTCAGGTTATTGGTCATCCAAACATGGTTGGGTATAGGTGGAGGCCACTTGTTCATTCCCAGCTGCCCAGACCTATCACTCAGAAACTATATTACTTGCAATACTGTTTGGCCAATAGCTTAAGCATATTACTAGCTAGCTCTTATATCCTAAACTAACTCATCTTCATCAATCTGTACATCACCCATGAGGTCATGGCCTACTGGCAAAGTTTCAGCGGGCTCCAGTGGAGGTGTCTGTCCCTGCTGGTGGCTGCATGGCTTCTCACTGGCTCCATGTACGCTCTCTTTCTCTATCTGCATGGAACTCCTACCTTGCCCTATTCTGCTAAGCCATTGGCTAAAACAGATTTATTCATTAACCAATAAAAGCAACACATATACAGAAGGACTTTCATAGCAGTTTGGTATGGGTTCCATATTGTGGAGTAGGCCTGAAGTCAAATCAGACATTGGTTGGTGTGGTGTTTTGAATGGAAATGGCCCCCATAGGCTCATAGGGAATGGCATTATTGGAGGTGTGACCTTATGGAGTAAATATGCCCCATGGAAGAAGTATGTCAGTGGAGGCAGCCTTTGAGGTTTCAGAAGCTCAAGCCAGGCCTAGTGGCTCACTGTCTCTTCCTGCTGCCTGAAGATGCAGATGTAGAACTCCCAGCCACTTTCCAGCACCATGTCTGCCTGCACATTGCCATGCTTCCTGCAATGACAATAATGGACTAAACTCCTGAACTCTAAGCCAGCCCCCCTCCCCTAATTAAATGTTTTCCTTTATGAGTTGCCATGGTCATAGTGTCTCTTCATAGCAATAAAACCCTAACTAAGACAGTTGGTTACTCCTGTTAGCTTTTTGCCACTATTGCCTATTTTGCAGGTAGGACACCATTGTAGATCCAAGGGTTTGTGGCTGGGTTCATGTTTTACCTTTTTTCTTTGGTAGTTGCAGAGTACCTTCCTATCTGGACCAAAGGCACTAGCACGAAGGGGTGAAGGCTCGATGTAGATACCAGCTTAACTTCTCCATGTTCAATGATCTGCGTAGGTGTTGTTTGCAGCAGTGGAGCCAGAGGCAAGAGAACTGTGTAACAATGCAACCTGCAAAACTGGCGTTCTCTACCTAGGCAGAAGGATCCTAGTGCCAAATAGATTTATATGGAAATAGAGTCCCCAGGTACATAAGGCTAAGGACCTTTTTCTGAAAGAGTTTATGTTCTGTAGAACAGAGAGTTTCCCAAGGACTAGTTGACTACAGGGTGAACATCAGCTCACTGTACAGCATGCGTCTCTCGGAAAACATTTTCAGGGACCAGATTCAATGAACAATGATAAACTTCAGCTCCCGGGGCCTTGTGGGTAAAGAGCTGGAAGCATCAACTTTGTTCACTAAGTTATCAGGCAGTGCTTACATTAGCAATCACAATGATTATTCATAATGGCTATCTTGTACTATTACTAGGGGATTTTAGCTCTCGAGATGTAGAGCTTTAGGACTCTTGTTGTGTGTATAAATGAAAAGAGATACCCAAACCAGAGAGGTCTGCAAAACCTTGATTCTGCATGTAAGCCAATATCAAAGACATGTTTCATAATTGCTCTTATGTTCATAGGTACACGTTTTAAAATTTTACAATGCCCAAATGGGACCGTATAGTTGAGTTACTGTATCTTGACTTAAAAACAATACTCATCATTTCGTAGCCAACAGAAAAAATGACATTTTTCTCAGATCTAGAAAGTTTTATCTCATACTTCTCTCAGATTTAGTATTGTGGAAGCAAAACCGAGGAAAGATCCTTGATCTCTATGTTAGAAAATTTAAATAGTTAGAAAAGAAAAATAGCTCTTGAATAGTTTTATGGGACTATTCAAGTTTTGTGTTTTATGTTATAAACAATAGTTTTATGACTTCAAACAACTTCTTTTTCTTCCTCTTCTTCCTCCTCCTCCTCCATTTCTTTTAAGCGAAAAGGGAACTGAAGACAACACTCAGTGGTAGAGTGATTGTTTAGCATGTACAAAACCTGGCTTTATTCCCCAATTCTGCCAAAAGAGGGATGGAGGAAGACCTAAACTTGGTGATACATGTTTGTAAGACCAGCAAATAGAACTCTGGGGGCAGGATGGTTATAAGCATGAAGCCAATATTTGTGCTGTGTAGCAAGAGTGGATGAGGAGGGGAGCATAGTGTTTTATTTATCAGATAATCCCATATTCAATTCCCACAGCATAGAATTTGGATTGCATGAAGCAAATCACATTGTCACTGTTTTCCTTTTTTTATTCCTAGACTAAAAAAGAAGAAACAAGCCAAACAAAATGCAGAGATCATCTCAGCTACAGCCACAAAGAGTAATTCCGGGAAAGAAGATGCTAACTCAGTCATTTTGGATCAAGAAAAATCCAACATTGCAGTGGAGGGGGAATATAACACTGATGAGAAAAAGAAGAGAAAAAACAATCAGTTAAAGGAAATCAGGCGCACAGAACTGAAGAGATACTACAGTATTGGTGAGTATCCGTGACAGTGTTGGAATATATTGTTTGAAAATCTGTCGTAGGCTGAGCACAGTGGTATACAACTAAAACCCCAGCACTCAGGAGGTAGAGGCCAGGGTAAAGGGAATTCACAGCCAGCCTGGGTTATATGAGACCTTGTCTCAGAACAATAACAACAATAGCAACAATAAATTATAATAATTTTACAGCTAGGTATGGGCATCACAAATTTGAGGCCAGCATGCTCTACATTGGGGAGCTCAGGTCAGCCTGGGTAGATAAGCCCCACCCCATCTCAAAATAAAAACAAACAAACAAACAGACTTCCATCCTCAAAAATCAAAATCTGTAAGAATTTGCTGAAAACTATGATTATGGGTCCTCATCATCATAACAGCACCAGCTTATAAAGCAAGTACTCTGTGTCCCTGGCTCTTTTTTTATATGTTATATAATATAAAAGGATAGCTATGAAATAGTTGGCTCCATTCCGCTCTGCACTTTGGTCATTAGCAGTGTGTCCATCACATATTGTATGCTGATAAACATTTTCCCTGTAGGAGAAATATGCTTTTTTTTCTTGTTGTTTTCTGTGAGTGTGTGTGTGTGTGTGTGTGTGTGTGTGTGTGTGTGTGTAGATATGCTTGCTTGTGCACGCAAAGAGGGGTCAGAGGTTGACCTCTAGAAGTGTGTCTGTTGCTCTCAACCTTATTTGTTGAGACAGGGTCTCACTGAGCACGGTGCTCAGTTTCAGCTGGAATGGCTGGCCAACTAGCTCCAAGAGTTCCTCTCTGCCTCGTAGCACGAGGGTTATAGGAGATCATCAATATATCCTGAGTGCTGGGGATCAAAATTCAGATCCCTAGGTTTATGTGAGCATTCACTTTGCCCACTGAGACATTTCCAAGGCTCATTTCATTCCTGAGTGGTCATAAATAGAATATATATGGACTATAAATAAACTATAGATGGAATAAATAGGTTGATGGAAGTATTGATAATAGTTACTACAATTTTTGCAGGAGGCAGAGACTAGCATGTATCAGCTAAAAACAACCACCAAACACAAAGCCCGCCCCTTTAGAATAAATCCACAATGTTATGGAGTTTCTTGGAATAGCCACTGATGAAAATAAACTGGGAAGGATGGCATATCTAGCTCTACTAGGCTCACCCATCTCGTACCTACTGTTCTATCACATGCATGGCTGGAATCTGTTTCAGTGGATGTGAAGAGATGGTTTCAAGAGTCAGAAATTTGGTGTATGGGCCATGACATGTTTAATATTGCTCGACAGAAAGAGAAAAGATGAAGTGGTGGTACCCAGAGAGCATCCTGCAGTTAAAGCAATGAGATGAGGTCTTGCAAACTTGCTCTGCAGGCCCTGAACTTGGTCCACATTAGGACAGTTACAGAAAGGCATGTCTTCTGTCTGTGTTTAACATAACTTCCCAATGGGCCTAATGGTGTATGTGATGGTCATCTTAACAGGTTCTAGGCACATCAGAGAGGCATTACTTAGCCTATGGGCATACCTTCAAGGGGGTTCTTTTGATTAAGTTAGTTGAGGTGGGAGAATGTTGACTTAGGGTTTCTGTCCTGCCCCATTCCCACAGTCGTTAAGTCCCAAAGAAATTACACAGAGGTCTACATTATTTATAAGCTGATTGGCCCATTAGATCAGGCTTCTTATTAACTCTTATAATTTACATTAGCCCATTATTCTTATCTGTGTTAACCACATGGCTCAGTTCCTTTTTCAGTGGCATAGTTACATCTTGCTTCTTCTGTGTCTGGACAGGACTGCAGAGGGGGCTTCCTTCCTCCCAATATTCTCCTGTTCTCATTGACCTGCCTCTACTTTCTGTCTGGTTGTCCCACCTATACTTCCTGCCTGGCTATTGGCCAATCTGCATTTATTTAAAACATAATTGACAGCATATAGACAATTGTTCCGCACCAGGAGAATCCATCTTAAAAGTGGGCAGCACCATTCCCTGACCACAGTATCCATTGCTCCCTTTTTGCTGACTAAGGATGCAGCATGACCAGCCACTTCAAATGCCTGAGTAACTAATAAGCTTGCCCTTACAAGTTAAAGTATCAGTGTATTCCCTTTTAAAAAGAAGTGAATAAAGGAAAGTTGCATTTTGTCTTGTTTTTAGTGACTTCTTGCTTTGCTAAAATGGCTCTCTAATGTAGTGGAATCTATTGAAAGTCTATTGTTGAGTTGAAAATGACTCTTTGTCTTCACCTTTCTAATTTTTCTTGATCTCACAAAATCAGTTCAATGACCTTGTCTTCTGGGATTCTCTTCCTGGCTCTGGAAGGCCAGAAAGGCCAGGCCAGGCCAGATTGCCACCTGCACTTTTATGCATTTATCCAATCTCCGTTTGCAGGCTGCAGTGCCTTTTTAGACCCTGTAGTGTCTCCACCACAACAGGTTGTGTGTGTGAACGTGTGTGTGTGATGGACACACCTGTGTTTACATCTGGAGGCTTAAGTGTCATTCCATAGTCACCATCTGCTTTGTATTTTGCACGGGTTCTCTAAATGGCCCGAAAATCATCTAGTACACTAGCCTGGCTAGCTAGGAGGCCCTAAAGTTCTACTTGCCTCTGCTTCCCAGTGCTGAGGTTACAAGATGGGCCGTCCTACCAGACTCTTTAATATAGGTACTGGAGATCAAGCTCAGGATACAAGGCAAGCACTTCACTGACTCGGCTTATTCCCTATCCTGACAGAGGCTCTTTCCATGTGCGTTCAGTGGAAGAACGAGTGCACAGATGAATGTACTCTGGTTTTGTTTCCATTTCCTGAGAATTCTGGAGGATATTGGTAACAGTACAGTCACTGGGTTGAAATTGCCATGTGGTTTTCCTTGGTAGCAATGAGTAAAGAGATGTCATTATGTCATTTCTTAAAAATAGCAGTGATGACCACTAACTTGGATTTGAGGCATTTCATCAGAAAAATCCAGTGCAGGGATCGAGCCTCCGGGTCGACCGCTAAATTTCAGGCTTCATTGACTCTGACCACATTTGACCATCTTGGACAAAAACCAGTTCAGATTTGATTGGTCTCACCCAATCTGTTACCTTCTAGAGTGGCATCGCAGGATGTGGGTCTTTACCACTAGGGGGAGCATCAGACCTTGAGTCAAGATTCATTCCTGTTCCAGGTCTCTGCTGCTTTCTGTGGTGCTACTCTGGCTGTGGCAGGAGAGTGAGGAGACTTCAGAACGCGAGCATCTTGTCTTAGATTTGTGAAACTCAGAGTAGGAGGAGTTCCGTTATTACATGGACAAATATGAATGGATGAAGGCAGGCTGTGGTGGTCAGAGACAGGATTTTAGGGAAATGAAATTCTGAGGAGAAATTTTGCTCATAGACAAAGCAGCATATGCTAATTTGTATAGTGTCTGAGGGAGAAAAAGAGCAAAGTCAGTACATGGCAAATTTGGGAACTCGACAATGAGGAAGGAAGGTGATGGAGTTTTTGTTTGGAGGTGTTTTTTGAAGAGCTAAGGCATTTCTCTCAAGCGGTCTAGTTAATTGCTCCTTACAGATGTGAGGTGAGTCTGTGTATAAAAGAAATGACCCCAGGCACAAACAGAGATGCAAAAGAAGCAGCTAAGTGACAGCGTGGGCTCAGAAATGAAGACAGAAAAGGTGTAAATGAGAGTTGTCTTATCTTGGTACAGAAATTATAAGGGAGTTTGTTTTCTTTTTCTTTTTATCTCTAGAAAGGGTCTCACTATGTAGCTCTGGCTGCCGTGGAACACACTGTATAGACCAGGCTGGCATCTCACTCACAGATCCACCTGCCTCTGCCTCCTTGTGCCACTATACCCTGCAGGAAATGTCCCTTCTTTATTTATTGAACATTATGTATTGCAGAAGGATACTTTGACAAAATAATGCTTTTTGCTTTTTCAGATAGATTTATCTGTGACTCACTGCAGCTTTGGCAATCAGTCACTGCTGTCTCGTGACACCACGAGAAGATGCCGATGGAGAATGTTCTGGAGAGATTGAGTCACTAGAATTGCCTCATTGCAACAGCATGGCCCTGATTCTGTAAATGTTCTGTTTTGTTTTTGAGAAAAGAGTAGGAAAGGAAGTAGTCACATCAAGACAGATTGCATCAGATAATTCATGGTCCAGTCTCTAGCACAACATTTAGAGGCAGTAAATATTATCAGAATCCTTCTATAACAAGTGAATTCAGCATTTCTGTGCTTGCACGTATAGTTACTAATATATAGAACTTCCTTTTTTTAAAAAAAACCTTCTACTTATATTGCTTAAGTTGTGTAGGGGGCATGGAGAGATGTCTCTGAGCTTAAGAACACTCATTGTTTTTAACAGGAAACCAAGGTCCACTTCCCGGGACCTCTATGGCAGCTGACAACTGACTATAACTCCATTTTCAGAGGATCCAATGCCCTCTTTTAGTCAGTGCATGCATGCATGTGGTGCACAGACATGTATGCAGGCAAAACACACATACACACACACATATATATATGAAATAAACAAGTATTTTTAAAAGAATCTACTTAGTGGTTCTGTGACATACTACACTTTAAACAGTAGCTATCACTGAGTTTTGAGAAAAATATGTTTAAAGACCGAGTTTCACTGTGTTGTCCAGGCTGACTGACCTTAAACTTACAGAGATCTTCCTACCGTTGCCTCTGCCCTCCTGCCCCCCTGTCCCTCTGCCCCCTGCTTCTCTACCCCTCTGCCCCTTTGCCCCATGCTTCTCTGCCCCTCTGCCCTTCTGCCACTGCCTTTGCCATGATTGAATTAAAAGTATGTGCAACCCTGCCTAAACAAGTTTTTATACAATCCATTGGAGCATTTAAAAATCTTCCAGAAGATAATTAATTTACCATAGAACCAAACTCTATTAAATTAGCAATACAATTAACTTTTGTTGTTAGAATAGTGCACATATCCCCTCCTAAATCCTGCAGTTAGAATGGGAATATTAGAAATGCAGAGAT